ATCTGTTGCACCAACAACACTCTAAGGTATGTACAATTAATGATTCAAATGAAATGCAATGTTACTATTTCAATTATTTTTGCTTGAAATTCTTAAAACTTATTATTTAAGCAACTCACCTTGGTTTTAGCACAAGGCCAAAAGTAAGGGACACAAAGTGAGAACCAAAGTCACAATTCAATAGTAATAACCTGCTTGTTAACCTTTACTCTACAACAAAGCACCTCTCCTTGTTTACTTGATTTAACTCTGGGAAGTATATACAGGGTGTATCAAAAATACTTTTACAAACTTTGGGGCCAGGTTCTTCACACCAAAACAAAGACAAAATTTCATATAAACATATGTCCACAAATCCTTCATTTTTGAGTTAATAAGTTTAAAGAAAGTTTACAGTAATGTCCACAAATCCTTCATTTTTGAGTTAATAAGTTTAAAGAAAGTTTACAGTAGATGGTATTGTGTTGTCATGTAGAATAGGTTACATTTGTCATTCATGTACATTTGTGGCTAGTCTGTCTTCAACATTTAACGTGTATAGTAGTGAGTTAACTGAGAAGTGTTCTGTTTAACAATGGCAGGATATTCATATGATGAGCAGGCAGATATGAGTTTTACATACAGTCATGCAAATGGTAATGGATGCAAGATTGCATGGCTGTATCAGATTGTTTCTTCAGACTGAAGTTACCTGAATCATCCAACTGTTGCTGCTGTTTATCAATGCATTGCTGAGACAGGATTTGTGTCACCACAAACTATAGATTGAGGAAGATGGAAATCTGCTTGTACGCCTGACCACAAAGAACATATCCTACAGGCTGTCGGAGATGATCTCGGTATCAGCACATGTCAAGTGGCCCTAGCATGTTGTATATCTCATAATACTGCATGGAGATTACTTCAAGAGGGGCTCTTGTAGCCATATCATTTGCAATATGGGCAGGGCCTTTCACCTTCTTATCACCCACCACTGGAGAACTTTTGCCAATAGTTTATTGCTCAAACTGCCAATCCATTGTTTATCTCTTCAGTCTTGTTTGCAGATGAGGCAACATTTGGAAGAGATGGAATAACAAATTTACACAACCAACATTTGTGGGCGGACTGGAATCCCCATAGTACAATATAAGCTAGACTCCAGCATCAGTTTACAATTAATGTGTGGGCTGGAATTGTAGGTGACTGTCTGGTAGGTCCATATGTTCTCCCAGCACATCTTATGGGAGGCTTTATTTCAAACACACTTCCAGACCTGAAAGAAGGTGTACATCTGATAATCTGAAGATGCATGTGGTTCATGCATGATGGGGCTCTAGTACATTTAGTCACATTGTGATGCACTGGCTGACATCTACCATGAAAGATGGATAGATAGGGGAGGACTGGTTCTATGGATTGCATGTTCCTCCAACCTCGATCTTTGAGATTTTTATCTGTGGGGCCACCAAAAATAATTAGTTTATGCAGCAGGTATTAATAATGCAGAAATGTTTCATCAGTGTGTCATGGGAGCCTGCAAAACCACTTGTGTGGGAGTATTTGAAAGGGTCCACCAGTCAATGATCCAATGGGTGCATGCATGTACAGAAGCAAGTGAAGGACATTTTGAACATTTGTTATGAGTTGCTGTGTTGAAGTGCAATGATGGCCTTTTGGACATGTTTATATGAACATTTTATCTTGTTTTGGTATCAGGAACCCACTCTCAATGGTTGTAAAATAATTTTTCAATGGTACATTTAACAGCATCTACTCTAACCTTTAAACTTTAACTGAAAAACAAAGGATTTGCAGACATGTTTATATGAACTTTTGTCTTTATTTTGGTGTGAGGAACCTGCCCCAAAGTTTGTAAAATTATTTTTGATACACCCTGTATTATATATAATACAAATCAATAATGCCTTTCAAAATATGTAAAATGACCAGAATTGAACATATTTCAAGGTGAGCAAAATTTTTGTCAAGAAAATACTCAATAAAGAACTAGAGTGACAATATTCTTTCATATGCAGAGTTTAAACAGGATAATAATTCTATAGATTTATTTGACTCTGAGGGGTGGTATGTCTGCAAAACTTTTAAGTCAGTAGAAAGATAACTCATTTGAGCCTTTTAATTTATTGACACTCTCTCTCTCATATATATGTCCAGTGTCCTTTCAAGGAATTGAACTCATAACTCCTCCTTGATCAGCTTTCCTTTAACAGTCTTGCTTGTGTTTAAATCAATAACTACTCTTTAATTGAAGCCCTCAATAAAGAGGGAAACATTCACATCTTTACTAAATGACTTCGTATTTACAACATTCAAGTAAGTAGCATTATGAAACAACTGTACTCAAGTATTTAATAGATTTTCTTTGTTGGGTCACTGACAATAAATAGGAAATAGATTTTGTGCTTACCATAATACAATGGTTAGCAAACATGTTTCACATAGCAAGTCATTTGTGCAATGAATTCAAGCCTCACTAAGTGCCCCTGGAACTATAGCCTTGTGCCAGATTAAACTAAGCTTAGGAAATACTTCTGAAGAGATTAAATGTACAATCCGCTTAGGACGTTTTTTTAAAGGTTAATCAATATGGATTATCCAAGGAAGATTAACACTGAGCATTTCATATCTTTCACTGCTGGATTAAATTTAACTCGAAAAAAATTACACTTTCTCAGTTTGCTTGAGATTTAATCAAAGCTGGGTATATATAAAATATAAATATAATTTTTGTTATTTAATATAATTTTTCAATAAACCAATCACCACCATAAACAAAAATTCTTTATCAGCTCAACTATTTAAAATATATCTAAGAATGTAAACAATTATTAAGTTAAAATGAATTTTAAAAAAATTCAATTTTCAAGAATTTATTTTTGTTTAGGTATGAAACTAAGCTAGAACAACTAGAAAGAATAAAAAGTAACTTTGGATAATTTGTATCTCATACCACACTAATTCATCATGGTATTATAATTCTAATCTAAACCATCAGCTTTTCTTCTGTTTTTTTTTTTTTCCAATACTGTATTATCGGATAACTAATATGGTTAATTTATTTTTTTAAAGAAAACATTTTCATGTTTGAATTCTCAGTGAAAGATGCAGATAGATAGACACAAAAAATACTACATCTTCTGCCTTCAGGTTCTCAATGAGAGTGAAGGGACTGAACTGATTTTTATAATTACAAATATCTTGATTAATTTTCTTTCATCAATTTATTTTGTTTTTCAATTTTTTTCTTTGAATAAATACAAGTTTTCTTTTATTTTTCTTCGGTAAGGAAAGACATGAGGTTTGCTTATTTTGTTCATTATTTCTCAAATGAAAACGACACAAACAAGTTTTTTCATCAAATCTACATTGGCTGCCTTGATCTTTCTTGAGAAAAATAACAAATATATTTGCTTTTACTTACACCGTCTTCAGTTCATCTTCATCAATTAAAGTTGTATCAATTGATAAAATATCCTTTTTGCCACCAAAATTAACCTGATATTCTGGAGTCTTTATTTCTGCAAGAGAATCATATAAATTTTTAGGAAGGAAATAAAATTTAAGATTAAAGCATTTGTTGGTTACTGATGAAATTAAAAATTAAATTTAGTTTTTAAAATAATAAAAAAAACATAAAAACAGTATTTGTTTTTACACTGATAAACATGCTAATGTATTGAATAAATTTTATATTAATTACAATATTTTTAGAATATTGTCTTCTAATTTTCGAAACTGCTACTAGGGGACGCTCTCCGGACTATAAATATTCTGTGATATTTTTTCTCACTCTCTTCTTACCTTATCCGCTTATTTGACATGTAAATCTCTTGCAGAGAATCTGCTTCCCTTTGGGAAATGCATGAACAAACCACACATACACAACACATGTACATCTGCACATTCACCCATTTCACATATTTTGAACCCAAACGGTTTTCTCATTCTTTTGTCAGACACATCATTGTCTTTGTCACTTGTAACCTTTCTTGCTATTACATTATCATTTGTTTGTACATATACATTGGTTCTTCTTGTTTCTTTTCATTTTTTCATGTGGACTCACATTCTGAGTCCGCCATTTTTGTTATGGGTATTTCAGGAGACAACATGTTATTCCCAATTTCACCAATGTTACTAACACCTGTAACAAGTTAGAAAATGCGTAACTGGCCCACAACAATATTCATCATGATTCAAAATGAGTAGATTTTAAAACATTAATAAAGATGCTAAAAAACATTTTTGTACATGTCAAAATTTGATTTCATCTAACACAAAACCAAGTGGAGTATAAACATGTGTAAAACATCTATGTTACAGTAGATGGGGAGTGGGGTCTTGATAATTTTGATTGATATATTTTTTATGGCTTATCACCCCGTTGGTGGATTCATACCCAATCAGAATTTGATAAACAAAAAAGAAATTTTAATGTGGATATAAAGTGAGGAATCAATTCTACATTACAATCAATATATAAACTGATCCCTCGTTGATAATCCTTAGCAAATGAATCAATGAAATACTAATTTCAGATGCAGATTTTCAAAGTTACCATATGGCCACATCATGTTGAAACAATGGTTTCTGTAAAATCACCAAAGTTAAGTAACACTGAGCAGGGTTAGTACCTAGATGAGTGACCACTTGTGAATGCCAGGGGCTGTAAGCTTGATTTGAGGGTGGTGTAATAGATAATAACTTGGAATTGTTAATCAAATAGAGTTCTAACACTCTAAAAATATTTCCTAGCTTTAAATATTTAAAGCCAGAAAATATTTTTAGATTGTAAGAATTTTTTTTTGAAGATAATAATTGGTTAGTGATACAAGTCATACTAATTAATCCATAGCTGGGGAGAGAAGAGGTAAATTCATACCTTTCCCAATGGTATTTGTGTGTAACTGAATATAACAAAGACAATGAGAATTTGAACTCAACTCTCTGATTAACAATTTTGAGCTATTATCCATTACACTACCCTCATATCCAAGCTTACAGCACCTGGTATTCCCAAGTGTTCTCCCATCTAGGTACTGACCAGGCTCGATGTTACTTAACTTTGGTGACTATATGGAAACTGTTGTCTCAATGGGATATGGCCGTATGGTAAATTTGAAAATCCTGATTTTTATTTGGGCTTAAACACCAACATGTGCACGATACAAAATCTTACACATTTATTCCTTAGAATTGTTTTATGAGAGAAAAAAAATACATATAGTTATTTCAATTATTTTAATTCATTATTTACTGAACATATATACCCCACTCCTCAAACACACACACACAGAACAATAAAAAGCTTTTTTATTTACCATTATTCTTCAAGGCATCTTCTCTTTCAGCAAGTTCATTTTCTAAAATTGTTTCTTCTTGAATGACATTGATTTTCTCTTCAGCAGCCGATAATCTAAATAAATGGAATAAGTGTCATGTGGCTGACAAGAATTGTGACAATAGTGTAGATGTGGTGTGAAGGGATTATAAAAATAGAGAAGCTGTAACTATTGTCATGGCAACAGAATAGAAAGCATCTGTTATTTTGCCCCATTTCAATTAATAGCTCATTTAAAAAAAAAAAATAAAGAATAAAAAACACTCAACCAAGTGAAATTTCAGCCATGTCTGACACAGTAAAAGTTAAATAAAAACAAAACAAAATAAAAAAAATCTATCACTAAATTTCTTTCAAAGATTATATTCTAATAGCTGTAAGGATTTTCAGGTGAGCAACTCTAGCCAGAGTAATCGTTATTCTAATTTTGTAAATAAAAAGATACCATCATTTGTTGGTTGGTTATTTTGTTTAGTGGCATGGGTTATTTAATGCTGAAATCTAAATATTTTGTATACAATTATATATATATTTTTTAGATAATAACAGTTTTAGTGATACAAGTTTTACTAATTAACCCATAGCTGCAGGGAGAAGAGGTGAATTTATACCTTTTCTAAGGGTATTTGCAGGTAAGTGAATACAACAAACCCAATGGGAATTGGAACTCAGCTCTTCAGTTAATAACTCTGAGCCATTATCCATGACACCACCCACACATCCAAGCTTATAGAACCTGGTATTTCCAAGCAGTCACCCATCTTGATACTGACAAAGCTAAATTGTAAGCATTCATTAAATATCCATAAAGTGATATACTGCATTATAATAATTTTTTAAATAGGTTTTTGATATCTATTTAATTTGTAGAGCTGTACCCATGGAAATGCCATAATTTTTGCTAATTTTTATTACTGAAACTAATAATTTTGGGTTGGCATATTCTATATTGCTATATCATTTCAATGAAGTTAAATTCCCTTGTACATTATTGCTTCCTCTATCTTCCCTTTCTTTCTAGAAGCACATATATAAAGCTTCAATGCACACATGCCAAAAGTTAAAAAAAAAACGGTTAGAGATTTAATCTGTCCACTACTGTCACACCAAGAATTTATGGGCAGGGGACAGGCAAGTTAAATTTGTGAACGGGGGACAGGCAAGCTATTACACTGCATAACATATGCGCTTACTAAGGAACAAACAGAATTATATTTACTTGTCTTAACCTGTTTATAATTTGATAGTTTTCCTATTTTAAATTTCTGATGAATTGTAATTTTTCAGTTAATCATTGAATAAGCTCATGGTGAGTTCTATGACAATAACATATCTGTAGAAATTCCCCTAATGCATTGTTAAAGATCTGAGCTTAAAATATTGCAATATCAATCATAAATATGAATGCTGATTGTTATTTTAAGAAATAAGGTGATACAAATGAAAAGATTTGAAAGTGACAACTCCATTTCACTGAAACAGACGTTAAACATATTTATCTTCCCTTCTTTCATTCATTTTATCACTGAAACCAAGTAGTGACTTTGATATGACTTTTGTCTTCTCATGCAATCAAAACAGAATATTCCATTATTTAGGTGTTAGCAGGAGACGTTCAACACTTCTATCTTTTTTTTTTTCACTGAAACCATGTAATATCTCTTATATATATCTTTTGTCTTTCCATGCAATCAAAATGGAATAGTCAATTATTCATGAGGTATTGGCAGGACATAACAATTGTGCAAACTAATGAAGGAAGAGACAAGTATAATTATTATATGATGATTGTTTTTAACATTGACATCTTTGTTGTTTAACCACATTTAAAAGATTCTCTTCTGATAATGTTTATATTCCGATTCATGGGGACATTTCTGGTCAGCCTGGTGGCTGAAGTAATAGTGCTTTTGTAACCCTTCTTGCTGGTCAGTCCTTGGTCAATGCTGCCATTAGCTGTTAAAGTTTGTCATTCTGATCCACACCCCACATTGTGTTGATTGATCATGGAGTTGTCAAAGATCAAATTGTCGTCAACAATTGCAGTGTTGGATTGACCTTGGTGAAGCTATGTCACAAAGGAAAAATAAAAAAAATGTTCTTGCAGACAAAATGAAGAAAAAACAGGAATTTCTTCAAGGTCTATTTCTATGTGGTTTATATCATTCTTTGTACAGAAATATTAGTTCTTACAAAATATTAACCCTTCCCACTTTGAATTCTATTGTGACATTTTGCTCAATTTAGCTGCGTCTGGAACAAGGCTTAAGTTGGCCGTTCTCTCTGGCAGTATGTCATGTGGGATTTGGCAGAGTAGTCACTGCTCATTGTCTGCATGCTGGAACTGGCATCTCTGGAACTCTTGTTGAATCACACAAAGCATTCTGCTTATACTGACTTTCACCCAAAACTGGTATGGAAGTTTATGTGGTTAGGGGAAACACTGGGTCCCCTATCTTACAACAAGAGCCTTTTGTTGTCTGGCTCTGGAAAATTAATTACATCTCCAAATTTGAGGAGATCCCTTTTCCTATGGGCAGCAGTCACAGGTTATCGATCTAATAACTCCTATTCTCTTATTTGTGCCTTGTACCAACACCTCCCAATGAACATAGGCAATTCCTTTGCCTTCCTCCTCCTCCCTTAGTATCTCATTTTTGCCTGTCACCTTTGTTGTTCTTTTGATGAATCTGGTCCTTAAACTGCATGGCATGGCTTAGTTTCTGGTCATTAATTAGAATTATCATTTTAATTTCTAGTCAGCAAATTATTCCCAGTCTGGTCTTGTTTATGCAATCAGATATTTACCAGCTGTTTCCTTCAGTCAGTTATCTCTCCATTCTGCCAGGGTCATTGTACTCCAAGAAACCCGGGTTTGGGTTCTTACATAAATTCCATTTCCTTGATTGTTTACAATTTCCACTTTTTGACAGGCAAAATAAATCATAATAAAACCTTTATTAAATTAAGAAATTACATTATATACATTGCCATTACCTTGGATAAATAATGGACCATTTCATTTTGATTGTGAGGAAAGATGAAAAAAGAGAATGCTATTTGATTTTGGTGAGAAAAAAAAGCATGTAGCAAGAAAAAAGAACGTGTATTTTGATTATTATAAGATTATTGGAGATTTATTTTTAAACAATAAAAAGTATGTAATATCATAATAAAAACTTTATTAAATTAAAAAATGACATTATACATCTTGTCATTACCTTAGAGAAATAATGAGCCATTTCATTTTAATTACAAAGATGAAAGAAAAAGATATATCAGAGATACAGTTTGATTTTAGAAAAAGAAAGTTTACATAATAAAAAAGAAAGGAGGACTATTACTAGGAATATTGTATGCAAAGAAATGTTAATGATGTTAGAGTGGTATAAATTTGCATATACAATGGGGCCCTTAACTCATGACAAAGTCCCATTCCTAAGATGCATTGTAATGTGATTTTCCATGAATAAACACTTACGTCACTCACCAATGCTAAAGCAACTGTAAAGTAATAATCTGGGAACAGCACATTTCTATGACATATGTCAATTAGGAATAAATATAATACATATAATGAAATGAAATCGTTTTAAGTAGCTTGTACATTTATTGCTAGTGATGTCATGATGAAGCATAAGATCTTATCTCTCTTGTAGTATTCAGAAGCAGCAGCAAATCTATGGAAGAAAGTAAAACAAATGTGACTTTGTTTTTCTTTCTTATTGGAAATTCCCCAACTTATAGTTTAACAAGAAAATATCCTTATCTGTTACAGGGAAACTCTCTCTCTCTATATATATATATATATATACACACACACATATGTACATGTTTAAAGGTAAATAAAAGACAACAAACCAAGGTTAGTGGGGAATGTATGTATGAAGCAAATGGCATAAGTCAGAACATGATTAATGGGGATTGCATTGTAACTACAAGTTGTCATAGGTTGGGGCTGTCGTAACCAGGGGACTTACTGTATGTGTAAGGTTTATCTTGTAAAAACCAAATAAAGCATTTGTTATTTGGAATAAAGTATTATAAATAGATTTAAATAAACATTAAAACCATGACAATTTTGAACATTTTCATTTGAACTTTCTTACTTTAAATATTGACCTGCATTCATAATTATGATTGTTATTGCAATTTAAAGTTATTAAGCTCAAATATTTAACAGTGTCATAGCGAATTTTCATGGGTATTTTATACTATAATCATGGAAATAGCAAGGAACATATGTTAAATAATAGTTTCAGACTATTATTTTTTAGTGGTGGTATATTTTAGCTCAGACCTTCTGAGGCTGACCTTTAAGGTCAGATAGTAGACAAAACAAAGGAAGTTGTTTTTGATTGGTTAAAACTAGCGTGGGAATGTTAGATAGTGATTTTAGGGAGTTAAGTTTTACATTTCATACACAGTAGACATGGTTATTTTGTGTCTCGGGGAACTTGCTCCCCAGTGGGGGTGATAGAGCGAACCTACTTGCGAGTTAAAAATGTACACATTGACATATTTAATAAAATAGATAAGTTTAAAATTTTTTTTGTTGATGTATTTTCATCTTCGGATTCCAAAAACATTTCAACACTTGGCTGGGAGAAGACAAGCCTTAGAAGATATAATGTTATGGAATCAACCCCATCAGCCAAGACATCCCCAGAATGAGGGGGTATGCAACACATTCAATCATTAGATTAAGAAAATTCAAAGCAGGAAAACTATGAAATTTTCATGGGTATTGTTAGCAAGATAATAAGATA